CCCCAAAACCCCAAAACCCCAAAACCCCAAAACCCCAAAACCCCGTTTGTAAAATTAATTATTGAAGAATTAATTGTGAGCCGAATATCCTTTCTGTGCTTTTGTAGTTTGCCCTCTTTTGTCTCTTGTGATTTAGGAAAGAGTCATCTTTTTCTTGTACTCTTCCTATCCTATCCATATTACTCTTGGTTGCCTATTTATTATTCAACATAATATATAAAACATCACAAAAGGTCTCCAAAGAAGTATTATCACAAGCATGAGAAAACAGTAGTTATATAATTTACAAGGATACTCTCAAATTACCCTCGAACTATTCACCCCTCAAAACCTCTCTTCTCATGCCTTCACCCAGCACCAATCCTCTTCCCCCAAAGCTAACCCTGGCTGCTAACTCACCTGCGGGCCCCACTTCCTTCTTGCCTGACAACTATGGAGTCTCTTGCCATTCCTTTCATTAACTTCTTCAGTGCCTCCAGTATTCTTGCCTTTCTCAAACTGTTTCTTGCTCGGAACCATATTTCTAAATTTACAAGTTTAGTCATAATTTTGCAGTTAAGATTTCACAAAATCTTACTTTTGTTCCGAAGAGCTATTTTGAGGCTGAAGAATACCTCCTATTGAGTTAGAGTTATTGATTGCTGCAGACTAGATTGTTTAAAGAGTGGGTTACTAGTTTTATACTTGACCGGTGCACTAGGTCAGCACTTTCAACAGATCCGGGCAAATAAGCAATGTTTGAGACAAAAGTATTGCTAGGGACTTGTTCCGACCCTCCCCTTTTGTGAAAAGCAGAGTCTTTCATGTACCCTACAGAAGAAATCCCTAGAAAAGAGTATTTAGGATTATCTGAGCGGGGGTAAGGATCAAAGAAACCATCCTCATCTTGTTTAGGAATTGGCTTTTTATTGATAGGTTTTGATCTTTTACTAGACCTATAAAAATCATGAACAAATATTTTGCAATTTGTGAGTAAAGAACAAGTACGATACCAAGCTTTTTAATAGCATTATCACAGAATACATATTAAAAGCAAAATCATACCTTTGGGATGCATCTTGAAGAGATCTTCTCATATACGAAGAGTCAGAATGTTTCCTACGTCTTTTGGAATCAAAATTCTGATACGACTGGTTTAAAGGAATAATCAAAGAGTCCAAGGGTACAAAACCTTCTCTTCCTGTTGACTCATATGGGTGATGCTGCTTGGAAGAAGGCTTAGAGGCTAGCTTTTTCTTTTTAGCAGCCTTAGAACTAGAATGGTCATTAATATCTTCCTTTGTCTTCCTCTTTCACCAACCTGAAGTAGTATGATTTCTCTTATGACTCTTATGACTTTTCTTATTATTAGACTTAGAAACTGTATTGGTAATATCAGCAAATATATTAATCTGTTCTTTTTCTTGCTTCTTCCTAACCTCTGAGGGTCTATTTATAACAAAAGGTTTCTTTTCACTCCCTCTTCTCCATCCCATTCATGAACTTGTCCCATGCACAAGTCTTATGGTCGAACTCATATTCCCTACTACAGGCCTCTCTGTTGGTAGATTCCTTCCTAGAATCTCTGCCTTTTCTCTTGGCATGGCTTTTGTGACCCCTCTTGTCTTTCCTAGGCTTAAGTTTTGGCTTGGTTTCTCTCCTCTGTTTCTTCTTGTATTGCGACAGTTGGTAGTATGATGTGTTTGGGTAAGAAGAGTGGGTGGATGGGTGGTGGGAAGTGGCAGTGGAGGTATGCGCTATGAGGAAGTTAGAAGGAGGAGAGTACTTGAGTATGTATCAGAAGGGGGACAGTGACGTTTTAGAGCGGTTTTGGAAGGCTTATGGTTTGTTTTCATTAAGAAATTTTATTTTTAAATTTTAACTGATTTCTATAATTATGAATATTTATGGGGTTTTGGGGTTTTGGGGTTTTGGGGTTTTGGGG